AATTAATTAAACTTGTAAATCCATCGGGGTTCATTTTCATTACATTCTGTTTGAGAGAATGAGAGGGAAAGGTTGGTGACATAAATGGGCCTAACCACCAGCCAGCAGTAACCCAATGGACGTCTGGGTCCATTAATTTTGCTATCTTTGTGCTGATCATCCATTTAAAATTTTTAATGTTGTCTAATCATTCTCTATATTTATTGCACAAATTGACTCATGAAGTGTATTTGCTCTATTATTTGACACGTGGCAACAAGACTACCCAAAACAGCCCATGTGAGCGGGCTGGGCTCAGAAGATCATTCCTTGCTTCAAATATGTTCAACAGCGGCAACTCTGAAATTGGATGGGGCTATGATGAATATAGTGGTCATGGGCCTCAAGGCCCCGTGGGCTCCAGCCTCCACCTAAATCATTATCTATTCTTCCATCTTATATTATTCAAATATTTATTTTAATATTTAATTAAAAAGTAATAAAAATGTTTCATGTCTTTTCAATGGTTTTATCTTTTATCTTCTATTTTTATATACGCACACGTGCATGATATGTTCAAGTATTTTATTTAATTTTTTAAAATTTGGATATTTATAAATATTTTATTCCTTCATTCTCCTCTTTCCCCACTTTAGCGAGACAAAATTCTTTGCCACTCAACCAGTACTATATAATTGTAACACGTGTTTCAATTTCCACTCAAGTCATAAATTTAATTTATAGTATGACATAGGGTTCGACTATGATACCAGAAAGATATATACAAAAAATTGTAATTAAGGCTCCGTTTGGAAGGAGTATAAATATAAATATATAGAGTATAAAATCTTGTATTTTATATTATTTTATATGTATTTGTATTGTACATATTTATATTCTTTTCAAACTGAACTTAATAAATCAATAAGATAAAAATAATAATCAATTAAGGGGTATTCATCGAAATTAACGGGAAGGTTTTGATTGGTCAAAATTCTTGTAGCACCGTGTCTTTTTTTTTTCTTGTAAAAAAAGTTGATATCATACATTTATATTTATAAAGTTAGTATTTCTAAATTGACTTGCTCTTCTTTTTTTCTCCTAAAATAACTTGTGAGCAATTATCATCTATGCAGAATCTAAGGCCCCATTTGGTATGTTTTTTTGCACGGGCTGTCAACTGTTTAGAAGTTCAACGACTTTGGTCTTTTTCCATTTGGTTAGAAAAAGATCTATGCATCAAAATATGCCTCCCTGAAAAGATGTGCGAAACCCATTTTGGGGTATTTTCGGGAAGCTCCAAATGGAGTTTTTTGACATTTTTCATCGCGTCTTCGTGCAGAAAGACGCGTAGAAGACACATCTTAACCAAATGGTCTTAAGATTGCTAAGGTCTAGCATGGTATGGAAACGAAACACGTTGAGAAATGCTTCAAAGAAAAGAGCAGAAGTCGAATTACCATGAAGAAGAATTCTTTACTGAATAATTAAGAGAAAATTCAATATCAAAAACTATCTTAACCTTCCCCTAACTACTCTTTATATAGACATACACCCTTATGGCTCATACAAGAAAGTTTCCTAATCTATAAAAAAATTTCATAATAAAATACTACTAAAACTCCTAAAAAAGAAAGTCTTAATTGAGCAATTCTAATCTAAGAAAACACTCCATTATAGAGTCATACTAAAACTCTTCAAAAAGGAAGTCCTAATTGAATATGAATTCGAAATCTCACTATAACGCTAATTTGATAATTACGAACTAAGATAGAAAATCTACGATGGTGCCAACTTGGTAAAAACGAACTAAGATAGAAATTCTATGATGATACTATATCGGTAAAATTTATCAAGTTGGGTTGGTGGCATCATCTCTACTTCTTATTTGTTTTGAAATGGTCCAAACTTGCATAGAACTTATTAGTTTCATTCTGTGCTGCATCATCCTTGCCCTATATGTACTAAGATGGGTCTTCGAAAACCAACTTTTTAAATGTTTATTCAATTGGTCCAAATCAAGGTCTTAGTGCAAAAGATCACACCATCTTTTGATTGTGAGGTTTGTTGGAAGATCTTTCAAAAAAGATGGCATAAACGACATCTAAAATTGGGGACCAAGCAATTGCATAATCAGATGTTTATTATTATTGTTGTTGTTACTGTTATTTTTTGGGTAGGCAAATGAGCTTCATAAAAATATAATAAGATATTAGAAAACAAAAATAATTAAAGTTTATATTTGAAATTCCAATAATTAATTTCATCACTTACCAAGGGCCTCAGAAAAGAATGGGGCCTTGGCGCAATGGTTGGGTTGCTCCATTGCCCCTAGCTAATTAGGGTTCAAATATTAGAAACATTGGCTCGAGCCTTAATTACCAAGGGTCTGAGAGCATCAAAATTTCTGAAAATTAAAACCTGGTTGATTCGTCTAAATGGACTTACATAAGATAGGCTTGTTCAAGCTAGATAGCTAGATGTTGCCTCTCTAGCGACTGTGGGTTCTAATGCCCTTCCATATCTTAGTTTTAGAACCTCAAATTACCATTAGAAAGTTCAACTTAAAATGAGTTTCCTGTAGAACAAATTAATTAACCAGTGTGCTAACTTGAAAATTCATCGACGACTCAAAGGCGAGACATTTTTCTTTCTACTGTCAAAGTGAATAGGATGGAACACATAAGCGTGATGATCCATTGAAGACATCCCTTGACCGAGTTAATCTCTCAAACAGTGGGGAGCCATCACGGGTGCAACTCTGTCGCAAGTCATTGCAGACATGGGTTTCAAACAATAAGAATCAGAACCGGAACTAACCGAATTACATAATCAGGTAAATATGATAAAATCGTTTCCTCCTTCTGTTCTTGTTTCATACTTACTTTGACTGGCCAGTTCAATCTGATCTCATGAAACCTTTTCTGATATTTGCTGATCGACTGGTTCAATCTGATGAAAAAAATTTGGATCCCATCAGTGTGACTACGTCTTCAATTTTCTTTCTGATATGCAGAAACCCTGGCATATTTTCTATAGACTGCTAACAGCCGGGATGACCACGCTTCCTTTGTTTCCAAGTCGTGTAACGAAATTGCCACTGTAAAGCATTGGAGGGTTGAATTCTATGGAATTCTTATAAACCTGCTTATATATATATATATAGACGACGTATTTGCAAATGTCATATATGTCTGGATATATTTCCAGATATAGAGAAAGACAAAGTGGGAATTCAAGCCGGTGTGTGATTCATAGGCTGAAAGCCCAGAGTTTTCTAGTCAAGGATCCTGAAATTAATTCGATATATTTGTCAGGACTCAGAATGTATGTATCGTTTATTTGTTAGTTTCCAATGCAAGTTTTGTCTCTGTGGATGATGGGCCCGTTGATTAATATTGCTTGGTTGAAGTTGGAGGTGCATCTAGAAGATATATATTTGAGACTAAAATTTAAAATTCAACATGGATAGCTGAGTTTTCTATTTGTTTTCAAGGGTTGAATTATCCATGAATAATGCTATATTTTTTATGGGTTCGCATTAACCGTGAAGGATAAGTTCAGTTCACTCTTTTCTTTTTCTTTTCGTTTTGAACTTGCTAAACAGCTTCATGGTTGCAGTCAAAATAAAAAAGATTTTGGCTGTTTCTTACGATGCAAATTAAAAGGAGCTAGGCAGCATTGCAGAAAACAATGTCAAAGTTCATCCATATATTTCTCAAAATTTTACAGCAAAATTAAAACCTTTTGTGTCTACCTTCTACATCTAGGAACAATCATCTTAAATCGATCTTGTTTTCATTTTTAAATACTTATTGAATGTTTCGTCGATCTACAAAGAGGAAAATCCTCTGATTAAATAGCATTGACCAAAAACTCTCCAACTATGTACCAATAAAAATATAAACAAGGGAAACAAATAGAACATAAAGCATGCTATATATACATCTAGATGAGAAGGAGAACCATTCTATTTCACCGTGATTATTAGTTATAGAAGGGCCTACCATATTTCCCAATTTTCTTGACCAAAAATTTGAGTATTTATGTTGGGTTTTCTATATCTTCTCAAAGAAGAAAAAACTTTTTATTTTTTTTATTAGAAAAAAATATAAATAGTCTTTCTATTTTCAATATTTTCCGTTTCTGTTTAAATTTTAATCTCAATAATAAGGCTTAAATTGGTCTTTTATATAAGAACCAATGATTAAACACATGATTTATATAAATATTGCATTCTAATATCTAAAAATGTATATAAAATTTTATAAAATTAAGCTTTTTTTTGTTCTCCATTGTACATGCATTACCCAAAAGGTTAGGAATTTCCAATGCAATGTGATTTTTGATGCTTGTCTCGTACAATTGGATGATGGTATGGGGGTGATATCTAATACCCGTTTTAGTACAATGAAAACCTTTACACTATTGGGAGCCAAAGCTAGTAATTCTCACCATATAATGGAGTAATAAGGTTTATTATATCATGCTGCTAATTTTATTAATAATAACAATTGAACTGATTTACTCAACTAAACTAGGCCTTAATCGCAACTACTATTAGCCAATTACTACTAATTTAATAGCAATAATGATAATAATAAAATTAACTAGTTCAAATGTTAATTAGTTGGTCCAGAGAATGAGGCAACGGGCTAATTTCTAAATCATTCCCCCCCCCCAAAAAAAAAAAAAAAAAAAATCTTCCAATTGAGTTGGCTCAAAATCTGTCTTCACCCTGTAAATTCTAGCTTGCGTACCTTTCATGAGAGAGCAGGCGGCTGCCATGTGCCATCGGCTGCTTTCTTGTCATTACGTCCTCCGCCATTGTGGCATGAGGAATTTATTTTCCAATATCACACAGTGAGCAGTGAAGACACAGTCTATTAAATTATCATCTTTTAGTCCAAACAACCCACTGTTCGACAGTGACTTCATCAGCTCTTCTTTCTATATATAGCCCACCACAAAGCAACTTAACCCAAACCCCAACCTAACGAGAAGACATTCTCGTTCCAAATTTTAATTTATTCAATTCCTTAATTATAACCTTCAGTAGTCTTCTATTTTCCATACTTCTGCAAGTATGGAATTTGAGCAGTCCGTTATAGGAGATGTCCAACGTGAACCAAGAATTATAGATGGACACCATGGTAACAAATTCTCCAAGGAATTGAGTTCATCCTTGCGAAGAAGTCGACGAGAGTCAGACGATAGCACTCAGCATGGATCAGAGTCCTTCAGGATGCTTCATATGGGTGTGGAGAGGACTGATCCCGCTGAGACCAAATTCGCCTGGTTGCGCTCGCAGCTGGTGGGAGCCGATGTCGAATTCGACACTCCCTTCGGCAAACGTCTACTCACCTATGCCGATCACACTGCTTCTGGGAGGGGTCTTCGCTACATTGAAAACTACATCAGCAATGATGTTCTTCCATTTTATGGTAAGTTTCTTTGATTTTATCGTCTCTTTAATTCTCTTTCAACCTACATCTGCAGGTATCTAGCATCCAAATAAGTTCTGTCTGTGTGTATTTAGTTTGATTTCTTCTCTCGGTCGTATTTTGCAGGAAATACTCACACGAGTGATAGTTTTGTGGGGTACCGGACGACGAAGACGGTGCATGAGGCGACAGAATACGTCAAGAAATGCTTAGGTGGGGGAGTTGACGATGCACTCCTATTCTGTGGCTCCGGCACCACCGCTGCGATCAAGCGCCTCCAAGAAGTGATGGGAATTGCAGTTCCTTCAAGCATGAGAGATAGACTGCTCAAGATACTCAAGAAGGATGAGAGATGGGTGGTCTTTGTTGGGCCATTTGAGCACCACTCCAACATCTTATCTTGGCGCCAGAGCCTAGCAGAGGTGGTGGAGATTGGTATCGATGAAGACGGATTGATAGACATGGCAACTCTGAAACGCCAACTTGAGACTTATAAGTCCTCCAACCGTCCTATGTTGGGCTCGTTCTCAGCTTGTAGTAATGTCACTGGAGTCTACTCTGACACTCGCGCTCTGGCTCGAATTCTTCATCAGCATTGTGCCTTTGCATGCTTCGATTTTGCTGCGAGGTGTGTGCAGAAATATTAGCTTTTAAATGGGAACTGACCTATCTATTCTGAAGCCAATAACAAATAGATATATACTGATTGATATTGGTTTTAATTTAATTTAATTGGTGCAGTGGTCCATATGTGGAGATCGACATGCGATCAGGAGAGCTGGATGGCTATGATGCAATTTTTCTTAGCCCTCATAAGTTCCTTGGTGGGCCTGGGACTCCTGGGATCCTTTTGATGAGCAAGGCCTTGTACCAGTTAAAATTTTCTGCACCTTCAACTTGTGGAGGAGGGACTGTGAGCTTTGTTAATGGCTTCTCCGAAAGGGTAACCCTAATTGCCTTTAATTTAATGAAATTTATCTTCTGGTTAGACCCATAATTAAGTTTCCTTTAATGGCTGATTGTGAACACATTAATTACTTTTAGGATACTTTGTACTATGAAGACATTGAAGAGAGAGAAGATGCAGGCACCCCACCGATCATCCAGAAGATACGAGCAGCACTGGCTTTCTGGGTGAAGGAATACATTGGTTACAACGTAATTGAAGCACAGGAGCAGGTCTACGTAAAGGCAGCTCTCAAAAGGCTGTCCCCCAATCCAAACATTTGGATTTTAGGAAATACTAGTGAACCAAGATTAGCAATCATCTCTTTCCTCGTGTTTTCTACTAGAAATTCATCAGAGAGCGAAGTTGATGGTAGAAAGACAAGAGACAGAGGACTTTATATGTGGAGAGAGTCGGGGGATAAGAGAGATAAGCCTCTCCATGGTCCTTTCGTCGCCAAGCTCCTCAACGACCTCTTTGGCATACAGGCTCGAGGTGGGTGTGCTTGTGCTGGACCCTATGGTCACCTTTTACTCAACGTTGGGGAGCCCCTCTCACTTGCCTTTCGATCTGCCATTCAGAAGGTAAAATACTAAATAGTTTATATTAATGGTTTACAATGACAAAATCTGATTCTAAATAGGGTGGCAAATGGGTGGATTGAGTTGGATTGGGTGAGGGTTGAGTACTGCGACCCACCCACATTGAACCCTAACCCTGACCCACCCATATGACCCAAACTGGACTTTTTACTTTCTACTTTTTCTTTATTTTAAATACACATAGAAATATATACCCTCCCTGAATCTCAGAGTGGCTCTATAAATGAGTCATCCTGTACATGTTTCTTATTATAGAAGTCAAATTATGGTTAGCCTACTGTGTCAATGGTCTTGCTCAAGAGTAGACCGGATGTGCTCCTCACATGGGGCGCCTCACACACGCCTCACACGTGTATCCTACCATGCATTGGGAACATCTCTCATACTTGTAAGTTAATTTTCACAGGAGATGCTTCCAATGCACTGTAGATGAGCATGTGAGGCGCCCAAGTGTGAGGAGCAGATCCCGTTCCCTTGCTCAAGCTTATTTTCATGGTCATGAATGCTCACTTTTGGTGCCACCCGCACTGTACCATGTGGTGCTGGCACGGCACAAAAGTGTGGGAAGGGGGCCAGCCCGTGCATTGGCAAGGATATTTTTTTTTTCATAAATAATGTATTAATTTACTGTAAGTCTGTAATCTAATTAAACATAATAACTTAATTGATTAGTAAATTAATAAATTAGTTAACTAATTAAAATTAATAACTTAATAAGAATTTAAAAACTAAAAGTTAATATGAATTAGTGCAATGTTTTGATAAAATTAAAAATTAACAAAAATTTATGAATTAGGCCATCCGTGGGCCTGAATCCCTAGGCCCAGCCCAACCCCGAGTTATGGGCTGTACTTGGCACGACCTTGGTAATGCAGGGGCGTACTGGCCCACGGGCGGCCCGGCCCGTTTGACACCGTGATGGTTATTGGGAAATATGGGGTCGATGGACATGGGCAGTAGTACCTGGACTGAAAGTCCAAGCCCAGAATTTTGTTTTCTTCAAAGTCAAGTCCATATAATGAATGATGCCTGGAGGTTGACTCATTAACAATTTTTCCACATCGAATTATCTATCGACAAGTTAATTAACTTAATTAATTGAAGTAATAATCGTCATTGCTGATGCTATCGTTCTCATTTATTATTATTTATTTTGTAGGGCTATTCTGGTGTAAAACCCGGATGGACAAGAGTTAGCTTTCCCTACTACATGTCCATGGAAGAGTTCGAGTTCATTCTGGCTGCAATGGAATTCATTGCCATTTATGGCCAACGCTTCCTTCCACTGTATCACTTCAACTGGAGAACTGGAAACTGGTCCTTCAGGAAGAGAGCAGTACTTCTGGATGATGTTACAGTAAAACAAAACGAAATCGATTTCAGTAACTTGTCTATGATCGAGAAGAAGGTTGTAGGGACGATTGACAATGAACCAAAGGCCCTTAAAGATGAAAGCAGTGACAGGAAAACAGCTGGGGTGATAAAAAAGTATGCTTCATACTTAGAAGCAGCCAAACATATAGCAAATTCACTCCCCAAGTTTCCTCCCCCTCGTAAGGTGCCGAAAGACATAGATGTTAACCTGGTTCATTTTAGAGTCTAGCCTCTTTAATTAGTCCTTATTGCTTTATGTATTGTGTGTGAATATAAGCTGGGTTTTCTCAACCCTACCACACTGAATAAAAATAAAATGTAGAATAGAAGATTACATCCCGTAATCTTCTTCAGTCACAGGCTCAGCAGAGAACCCTACCTATTGGAGAGAAATTAACACCATTTAAGGGTTGGTTTTGCTTTGAGCGTGGTCATGTTTGTATCCTTGTACTGTATTATTCCAATTTTCAGGGGTTTGTAATCAATAAAATAAAATCTGGTGGCATCAAACCCACCGCTTTTCTATGAATCAAACAAGGTATAGGGACTGTTGTTAGTCTTTTATGTATTTGATATTAATTTTTGATGATAACATGCTGATGCTAGAAGGCAGCTGATGGGTTGCTTTGTCAATCCCTATGCAAACTCAGCGTGTGGGTGTTAGTCTCAGATGCAGCAACTGGGGAAGTATTAAGGAAATATTTAATGCAGGCCTCTTGCAAGGAGACATTTTTGTAGTCCAATAAATGGAAATAAAAAAAAAAATCTGTTCTTGACCAACAGATCTAATTACATGGACTATCATCCCCAAGTCAAGATACCTAAATTCCCATTGAAGAATGGAGACTTTGTATTTGTCAACATTTGTTTGTATATTTTTGTTTTGAAGCCAGAAAGGCAAATGCATTCATTAATGCTCAGATTACAACTCAAAAAAATACAATTCAGTAAGAACTTCCAACAAAGTAAATAAAAAGGAGAAACAAAGCTTTTGCTCCTTTTAAGTAGGAGAAAATTAATTAATGCTCCTTCTGTCCGTGGTTAACAGAGCCACGTTAACCATATTTTTGAAAAACTGGCTACAATATTAAATTATCAATTGAAGGTGATACCCGCTTAAGAACGCAAGACCAAATAAATCAGTCTGAACCGAGATAACTGAGATTAAAAGGAACGTTGTCTTAAAATATGACTGCATTTTGAGTTGGCAGGTTTGAATGGTTTTTTTTTTTTTTCACAAGGGCACACGCCTAAACTGGGGTGGAGCTATTGACCCCACTGACGTTCAAAAAAAAAAAAAGTAATTGACTACATGTATTATTGTTTTAGCGCAACTTTTCCATATTGACCCCAGTAAAATTGAACCAGAACATAGGGTGGGGTAAAAGTTGTTTTTCTTCCTTTTTTTTTTCCTAGCTTGAAATAGAGTTGAAATGAATTTGCAGGTGTTATATCTTGCAATTCTCAAATGTTGGTGAAATTGAAACAACTACTAAGTATGTATAAGGGAGTGAAAAAGAGAGAATTCATTCTCTTTAAGCACTGCTATTTATAGCCTATGATTAGGATTGTCACTTCAGTCCATTTTTTAATCAATCCCATGTAAACGAGATATTGGGTTAGGGTTAATTCCTATATATACTCCATTTTGCATGAGTTAGTGGTAAAGGGCCAAACTATTTTAATAAAAAATAGGCCTATTTGGGCTTGGTACATTTGAATCCTTGGGCCATGGGTTTGTCTACATAGAATTAGCGCCCTGTGCTTGAAAGCCCATTATTTATTTGGCTTCTAGGATTTTTTTATGCCTACAAACATACAAATGTTAGCATATTAAACAAATCCTCTTGGTTTAGGTAAATGGTAAGCACAGCTACCTTCAGTGAGGTGCTAACATGGTATGACCATTTAGTCCGAACATAAAACTTAGAATCGAAGTACTCTATTTATATATATATATATATATATATATATATATATATATATATATATATATAAAGCAAGGTGGTGCAGGTCAGAGGGAGTTAGGAGGAAGGGGGGTTTGGTTTAACGAGAGGATAGTTGACATGGACCACACTTCGCTTTGTATATATAGTAGAGATTTTTTTTTTTTTAAACTCTTGTAGAGACAAGATATTTTAATATATATGGGTATCGCCAATTTGTCATGAGAATAATTGGTTTAAGATCTTGTCACCAATAATTTTGACAAAACTCTGGGATATTTGTACTAGTAGAAGGTTTAAGTTATAAAACACCTTTTGTATGCATAACTATGCCATGGTAACTTAAATTGAGAGAGACCTATGAAATTAACCAATTAAAGTGGGGGATTGTTGGATTTAATCTCATTCCAATGGGGCTTGATTGGTTAATTACATGAAAAAGAAAACACTTGCACATATATCTTGCAAAATAGTTTTCTTATACTAAAACCAGTTTTTGACTTGTCCCTCTTTTGAAAATTAGTAAACATGTTTTGAGTTTTTAAGTAGGAGCTTGTTTACACTCCATAGAATTATGAGAGGAGAGTATGGAGGCTTGCTACCACACAATGTGAGCGCATGCGTGTATGTGGCGCAATGAGGCATTTTAGAGGTACACTTTGCTCATACTTCGCACACTTATGGTGTGAAGTTGACTATTGATGTTTCAACGGTCATTATTCGATTAGGTGTGATCAAGAGGCACTGTTCAAAGTTAACAGTTATTAATTATTAACTACCTTTTAACAGTCACAAGGTTTGAAATTGTGATTATTCAAAGAGCATTTTCTAAACCAGCACCTTTAATTCCTCTTCTCCATGACTCTTTTGAAATTATATAAGAAGCGTGAATCAAGTAAATGAACACAAGTTTTTCGAAAATCACTCTTGTCTCTCTCAGTTCAATCTGTTATTGTCTCACAAAAGGTTTCTTCTGAGACTTCAACTTTGTTGGTTGTAGATTCTTGCCTAAGGTTCTGTTGTATCCTGTGAACGAATTTATTTGTAACTCAACAACAAACTTAGTAAAACTTTGTGGGGGCAAATAATATTCTAAAGACAGTATTGCCTTTAGACACACCTCAGAGCTTTTCCTCTAAGTCTTAGTAACATCAATTTCTAACAATTAAAAATGGTAAAATTTTTCGAAAACACTTCCCATGAAACTTTCAAAGATGGGTTAAATGCAATATGGGCTAGGCTTGAGGTAAAAACCTGGGGTTGGACGAGCCCATAAATCAGTGAGAAGGAAATCTTTTTTCTATTCAATCCATAATTGATTGGGAGACCCTTAGTTGGTTGTTTGCTTAACCAAACTTCAATTTGTAATAGATGTTGTGTAGCTTAAGGCACATAGATTTTATAGTTTACATATGCCCCAACACCATAAAAGCGGAAATTTCAATGAATCATACAAAGGGCCGTACCTGAGTTTTGGGCCACGTACAGAAGACTAGGTTAAATGCGTTAATTTAGTAGGTGTTTAGCATCGGTGCTAGGAACATCGCATTGTTTTCTTATAAAAATGGTGTTGGACATGTGGAGTTGTAAGCACTGTTTTTTGTTTTGAATCAGTGCTGCCACATAGGCATTTCTAAGAAAACAACATTGGTTTTGTTTGATACCAGTGATGGCAGCAACACTTTCAACATTAATCTATATTATCGAACATTTAGGATGATGCCACATCATTGCATCACTAACAGTAACACATTGTTTTCTCAGAAAACACTGAATTTGGTGTTGCTCCAAACCACACTTTCACGATTTCTAAGGCATGGTTTAGAACAATATTTTTTCTAGAAAAATGATATCAACCAAGAGGTTGTTGTTTGAAGCACTGCTTTCTCTAATGTGGTACCTACATGGTGCCTTTTTCTTAAAAAATGGCCTTGGTGCTAGACGCCCACTTAATTGCATTTAGACTTGCCAATTGCCATTTTTCCATGCTTCAATTAATAATATTACAAAGTGGACTATGCAATATAATAGATTTTAAGCCCTCCTCCAATCGGACCAATCCTTTGTTTGTGTGGATTTCAGGATTTATTGGTGGAAACCTTAAAGGGCATTTGCAAATCCATGGCTTGCATTTTGGGCGTTAGAAAGATCATAACAGTTTCTGTCGTGAAAACCAAGGGAGGGCCCCCATGTTTTAATTTTTCTATTTTCATTTTTTTGTGGGCGGGGGTGTGTGAGAACTAGTTTAGATGGACCAAGTTCGTTTGTTCTGTGGGCCTTCCACCTTGTGACTTACAACCTCCATGACGTTATGCGTTTTTTTTTCTTTTTTTTTTTTTTTGAGAAGAGTGACTTTATGAGTACTGTTTGCGCAATTGAGAAAGAGCCATTGGCGCTAAAAGAAACCTATCCTCCTGAAATATAAACAAAGTCAAGCACGAGGTTTACTTAAAATTATGAATTCCCATGGAAGAAACTATTGCTTCCATATTCATTTTATTATTATTTTGTTGTGTTTTTTTATTTTTATTTTTTGATGGACAATAACTGTTTGATCTCGAGCTTCGAACCCGGGAGAAGTACAAATCAGCCCAGCTCAGAATTTACTAGGCCCAAAGTACAGGGGGAATGCATCCTGACCGTGAATTGATGCCAAATTCACGGGCAGGATGTGGTTTATAGGGGACAGGGCTAATTGTAGGGGGGGCTGGAATTCAGAATTCTGCAATGTGTCTCCGTACTTTTTCCAAATGTTTTAAGTGGACACGAAATGTGTCATGTCTCGATATCCAATGGTTGTTTNTGGGTGGGGTGGTTGTTTCTGGAATTCAGAATTCTGCAATGGGTGGGGTGGTTGTTTCTCTAACTCTAAGTACTACAATTCCACCTCTCTAAACCCAATTATTAGGGTTGGTGATTAAAGACTTAAGCTAGATACCTGGACCCTCTTGGGGAAGTATTAATCTAGCCTTCTCAATCCAATCAAAATGGTCCATGGAAACCAACATGACCAATGCAGGGGACTGGTTTTAATAAACTCGGCAAAAATTGACACATTTAAGAGAATCTCTCTCTTATAAAATATTTGTATATAAAAATTTTCTATTTCCATGGTCAGACCATCTGTTCAGGGCAGAGGATTAGTTCAGTTTGACAAGATCAGGGAAATGGGAAGGAAATGGAGGTTTGGAGCCTGGTTGGTTTTCTCTTCAAAGAACATCCATTGGACGAGTTCAGATTGGCTCCTCACACCAACTTCAACTTCACACACAGCAATTGGAGCCGTACGTTTGGAATATCTTTGTACTTGTAAATTATCATTCATGGGATAAGAGTTGTGAGATTAGTGTGAAGCGCCTTCACATATAGGCCTTGCGCATTCCTGTTGACAATCATAACCTAAGATTGCAACTTGACATTCTAAACGTTTAAAATAGCTAGAATGAGTCAAAACCTTGTTGGAGCTTGATAATAAGCATACAACTTGTTTGTTGTTAATCATGCCTTCTAAATCATCTTACACAACATATCTACAACATTCTATCTGGGAACCATCTCTACTGGTAGTTGCAGGGCCCACTTCAAGTTGTATGATTTGCATTGCTCTTCTTTTCCCCTTCTCTTGGAGAATATTAATATAATAGTGATAATAAATTGCAAACAGCTGGGTTATTAGTTCTCAAACAATGAGTATCAACAAATAAATCATCTTTCTAAATATATATATATATATATATTTTTTTTTATTTTTTTTAAGCCAAAATACATTTTTATGCATTTAGAGGGAGGAATTGACCAATGTGAATATTTTTATTTTCATTTGTTTTCAAAATTGCCACACCATCAAAAAAATAAAAACCATGTCCCCTAATCTTGGTTTTGTTTTGAGATGTATAAACATAATTTTGTTTCCAAAAACCATCAAAATAATGTTTTCTAAAACAAAAACAAATTCTTTGTCCTATTAACATTTGAAAACCAAAACCACATACACAAAGAAGAGAGATCACGGTTTTTATTTTGAGAAACAATTCAGGTTGAAAATTTTTAAAACCATTAGACCAAGTCACCAGTGAATTAAAAAATTCATAAAAAGACCTAGGGTTGGTATAGTCATTAGCCGTTGGGAGTTGGGCGGTTTCAAATAGTGTTTAGAAAACCGGATTGGACCAGACAAACCGGTTGAACTGTGACCCAGGGCCTGATCGGTTTGGTCACACCCCAATAAATAGACTTGCTCAAAACCCGTTGAAAATTAGTTGACTGACCGGTTTAATTAGAAAATCGGTGAACTAGTCCTGATTTCTTAAAACCGCTCAGGTCCATACATAAGCGAAATCTCAAAAATTTTGTTAATAAGATTTGAGCCCAATAACTCTTATTTTCATAGATCGCTTAATATCACTAATCCACCTGTTATGCTAATTAATGATTATTTATTATACATATTTTAAAGAAAATATAAGTTAAAATGCTTGAACACTAGTCATTTGTTTTAAAAATTAAGAAACATGTGGTACATTAAAAATTGTAAAATATATTATATAATATTTATATGACCTGTATTATATATAAATTTATTTATTTATACATGTATGTATGTCATGTCATTATGATTCGACCCTACCTAGTGACTTTAATCAAACTTCTGACCCGTGAAACTCTCCCTTTTCCATTTCTATGCTTGTCTGGTTCTGAACATTAGTTTCAAATATTACTCGTCAAATTAAAACTAGAAAAAACATTTAATATATATATATATAAAGAAGAACAAATAAGACCAAGTCGCACCGTTAGTTCAAGTTTTGGGTCAGACTTTCTCTGGGTCAAGCGATTAGTCTTCAAGAAACTAGCAATACAACCCGGCATGTAGGGCTCCCTGTTCCCACCGAAGTCATAGACGCAGAATACATCATCAGCGTCTAAATTCCCTGAACGAGATAGACGGGAGGATCCTCTACGTCATGTATAGCTTTTCTTAACGATATAGCTTTTCTTATAGAACATTTAATAAATGGAGAAGAACATAGATGTTGAATGGACACTTTATTAAATTAATTCATCTATATCTCCAAACCTTAAATGAAATATTAATGCTCCATTTGACTTAATGTTTCTCCTATATATACTCCCTCCCCCTCTCCATACAACACAGATTATAAACCCCAAGAAGAAACGTTCTTGGGCTTCTTATCTTCTTCTTTTTCTTCTTGGTTTTCTTCCTAATAATCTACTACTCCATAGCCTTCAATTGCTTCCACTTTCTTCCATTCTTTCACAAGTATGGAAATTGAAGAATCCATGACAGAAAGTATCCATAGTGACTCAAAATTTGATGGATACCATGGAGATAACCATGCTAGGAAAATGTTCCAAGCCCTGGTTAGAAATCCATCGGTGCGAAGATATGCATCAGATGTTTCAGATGAATCACTCGACAAAACAAAACCCATTAAGATGCTTCAGATGGGCGTGGATAACAACGATCCTGCTGAGACTAAGTTTGCATGGCTGCGTTCACAGTTGGTTGGAGCCGATGTCGAATTCGACACCCCCTTCGGAAAACGCCTTCTTACCTATGCTGATCATACTGCTTCTGGAAGAGGACTTCGCTACATTGAAGATTATATCACCAACGATGTTCTTCCCTTTTATGGTTAGCTTTCTGAATTATCATTTCTTCTATAAATTTTTCCTTTTCTTTTCCAACAAAGTCTTTTTTTATTTGGGTTAATAGAAAGAAGCTTCTGATTGCCATTATATCTTCATCTGTGTGTAGGGAACACTCACACAAGCGACAGCTTCGTGGGATACAAAACAACAAAGACGGTACATGAGGCGACGAATTATATCAAGAGTTGCTTAGGAGGCGGAATTGACGATGCACTCATCTTCTGTGGCTCCGGCACCACAGCCGCGATCAAGCGTCTCCAAGAGGTGATGGGAATTGCAGTTCCCTCGATCATGAGAGAGAGAATGCTGAAGACCCTGAAGAATGAGGAGAGATGGGTGGTATTCGTTGGGCCATTCGAGCACCACTCCAATGTCTTATCATGGCGTCAGAGCCTAGCGGAGGTGATCGAGATTGGACTTAATGAAGAGGGTTTTCTAGATATGGCATCTCTGAAGCATCGACTTGAGAATTATAAATCCTCCAATCGTCCTATGTTGGGTTCATTCTCAGCTTGTAGCAACGTCACCGGAGTCTACTCAGACACACGAGCTATTGCTCGGCTCCTTCATCAACATGGTGCCTTTGCATGCTTTGACTTCGCTGCTAGGTATGCGTTTGGGCCTTTCTGGCTCTGGGTGCATATATATATATCCTTGTCGCGATATTAGTTCAAACTCTTCAGTTTTCTCAGCCTCTTTTGCCATGGTCAAGTGTGTGATATTTTGCATCTCTGTTTGAATTGATGCAGTGGTCCATATGTAGAGATCGACATGCGAACAGGAGAGCTGGATGGCTATGATGCTCTCTTTCTTAGCCCACATAAGTTCCTTGGTGGGCCTGGAACTCCTGGCCTCCTCCTGATGAGCAAGGCCTTGTATCAGTTGAGATTTTCTCCTCCATCAACTTGTGGAGGAGGGACTGTCAGCTTTGTCAACGGCTTCTCTGAAAGGGTAAGCCCCATGTGATCACTTTTCTTTTAAGAGGACTCTGTGATTTGATCAAACCTCATTCATCAGTTGCTAAGATAATATGCAAACCTGATTTGTAGGATACCTTATATTATGAAGACATAGAAGAGAGAGAAGATGCCGGGACCCCACCCATCATCCAAAAGATCAGAGCAGCTTTAGCTTTCTGGGTGAAGGAATACATTGGTTACAGTGTGATTGAAGAACAGGAACATGTCTTTGTAAATGCAGCCGTCAGAAGGCTTCTCCCCAACCCAAACATATGGGTGTTAGGAAATACAAAAGCAAAGAGACTATCAATCATCTCTTTCCTTGTTTTCACCACCACAAATTCTTCAATGGAGGAGGGAGAAGATGGTAGCAGAAGAGTAAGAGACAGAGGACTCAACATGTGGAGGGAGTCAGGGAGCAAGAAGGATAAGCCTCTCCACGGGCTTTTCGTGGCCAAGCTGCTGAATGATCTCTTTGGCATACAGGCCAGAGGCGGGTGTGCTTGCGCCGGTCCTTATGGTCACCTTCTGCTCGATGTCAAAGAGACTCTTTCGCTTGCCTTTCGGTCTGCCGTCCAAAAGGTATGTGTATTGTTTATTACTGATTCACAGTCATCAATATTGGCTCAAATGAAGCAAATTGACGTTGAGTGATCATTTGTCACCCCACTTCGTAAGTTGATTATTTGATCTTATTTCCATTATTTGTAGGGCTACTCTGGTGTGAAACCTGGATGGACGAGAGTTAGCTTCCCCTATTACATGTCCATTGAAGAATTCGAGTTCATCCTGGCTGCAATGGAATTTCTGTCGATATATGGACAGCGATTCCTTCCGCTGTATCATTTCAACTGGAAGACTGGCAACTGGACTTTCAAGAAGAGAGCATTCGTGGAGAAACAAATAGGGGAAGTGCATGAGCTTGACTTCAGTAAATTGTTGTTAGCTTATAAGAAGGCTAACGGAGTTGTTGATAAGTATGCATCCTACCTTGAGACTGCTAGAAACATAGCGAATTCCCTTCCGCAGTTTCCTCCTCCACGGAAGGTGCCGAAAGATATTGATCTCAGCCTTGTTCACTTTAGGGTCTAGGTCCCCTCTCTGCTGTCCTTTTGTGGACCTGGACTCATCTGCACATACAGAAGTAAAATAAATAGGAAAATTAGGATTGCATCCCGTAATCCTTAGGGAATTACAGCTCGTAATCCCTAGGCTCAGTATTGTATGGGAAAAAAAATTACATATATATGTAAGAAGAGAAAGATTACATCTTGTAATCGTTCTTGTAAGTAGAGAAGATTTACAACTAAAATAAGTTGACTGTATGTTGAGCTTCTGCCTTGTATTTACTTGTACCAAGAAATAAGACTTTTATTTTTGTCCCTTGATTATTTTTTTTTCACTTGTATGCATAATAGAATTCACTCAAGAAAAGAGAAGGGAAAAGGTCTAGTATCTGGTTCGTTATTCACTTTGAAATTCACTAATTGGTGTTTCATTCAATGGACTCTTCCAAGCAAATTTTCACGTCTCCGGTCTGTATGGATATTGCTGCAAAGGGTGGTTATTTCTTCTCCTTAAATTTCAACTGGTTATTTTTTGGGTAAATTTCTGAAACCTTCCTTTAAATTTGGTAATTGCAATCACCTCTCCTGAATTTTATGACATTTTTAAGTAGATCCCCTTTGTTAAAATCTTTTAACAAAAAACATAAAAATGTTCAACATGCCCATGTAGTTACTATTGAGACTGATTTCTATAGTAAAAACAATACAAACTTTATGAATAACAATAAAAAAAGGAGAATTGAAAGATGCAGTTTTACCTTTGAACGATTGATATGAAAGAAAAATTTGGAAAATAAATATATTTTGGAAAGGCTTGGGGTAGTGATTGATATGAAAAGAAAAATTCGAAAATAATTAAACATTTTGGACAAAGTAACTACATGGGCATTTTGGACTTTTTCGTGCCTCTTGTTAGAGGATTCAAAGCGAGGGGGGTCTAATTACAGTTGTGTCAAAAAATTCGGGGAAGGTGATTGCAATTACCAAACGTCAGGGGAGGTTTTAGCAATTTACCTTATTTTTTTTTTCTTCTGAAAAGTCTAATGCCCCATTTGGCATTCCCCGTGTGAGGGAATGGCTATTCCCTCCCCCTCCATTGGGAATAAAATCCCATTCCTGCCATGTTTTCAATTTCCATTCTCATTCCTATTTGAAGCAAAGAGGCTATGGGAATAAACCATTCCGACTCGATTTCAATTCCGAAAGACTCTGAATCAGATTTGGATTCCGATTCCAACTGTGAGCCAAACTGTCCCTGGGTGTCTAATCCAAGGTCGGGATAAGCATAAATAGCTTTGAATATGCCTTGGGGCATTAAATGGGTGGTTTTTCATTCAAGACTGAACGACCGTTTCCAATGTCAAAGAAAAACCTGACTCTTTCTTCACTATTCCCATATTTTATAGTTTTGTTTTGTGAGATAACTTGTTTAAAGTCGAGTTTCTGGTTGTATATATATATTTTTATTTATTTATACTGTAATTACGTATTTTAAGTATTATGTGTTCTTGGTTCTATAATGAGGGTTGTTCTGGTTTGGGAGCAAAGGTCTTGATTTACATGGAATTTTGTCTTTAGTTTCTTTAGAATACTTAAATGAGATTCTTGATTTAGAGAGTATGATTTGGTGATGTAGACAACTATGAAATTCTCTTGTTGGAAAGTTGGAAAGGAAAAGACCCAGTAATGAAATGTTCCCAGCATTTTGTTCCATAAAGTTAAGATAGCCTTATAACTATTACTATCCTATAATAACTCAGCCAACTTTCATAGACTATTCACATGCATGCATACTACACATGGGGTTAGAGCACAAGCGAGAAAAATGGTTTTTTAACTCTATCTTGAAAACCCATTATATTTCACAAGGTATTAGAATGTTGCAAGTAAGACAAATTTTTTTCCATCCCTTACTAAAACACATTTCCCATCCTATCCCATTCTTTTTGTTATCCATATATTTTTTTAAACTCATTCAATACTAGAATCTTATTCCAACAAATAAGATACACTTAGTTTTATTAAAATCAGTCTCTATCGATCATATTATGTAATAATTCAAGAATTCTGCATAGGCTGTCGAGGCCTAGGCATAACTTGAGGTTGTATGGGACCAGGCCGAGGCCAAACTACCGAGTGTCGAGGAGAGGATGATACGGGATGCCGATGCTGCCGCCAAGCGGGACCTCATCAAAGATTTGAAGGTGGAGGTGGTGTCTTATAAGATTATCAAGAAATACAAGAATGATCTAGCCGACTTCGGAAGAAGGGTTTGACAATTGTAAGGTCTAGGTGTTGATGATTTCAAGGAGGATGAGGCCCAAAAGATGACCGCACTAGTGGGGCTGATGCTTGAACGGAGGTAGGGGTGTCAATGGACCGGTTTTGGGTTGGACTCTGTCCAAATCAAAATTCATTTGAATGGATTGGACGGACTAATAAGATATATTGAATTCGGACGGACTGGATGGACCTTTAATATGGCATATTGGATTAGATCCGGTCTATTCACATATGAATTTATATTGGTATTGGATTGAGCCAATATTTGGTCCATTGATAGAAAATAAGAATATAGGTGTGAATGGATCAGATTTGAATTGAAACCAATCTAAATTAACAGGAATTTAGAAGCTTAGATATTGTAGTATCGCATTTTGAAATTTGGGTACTAAATTGAGGCTAACAACAAAGTATTAGGTAGCTATTAATATACAATTTTCCATTTTTTCAAACAATCAATACATACACACACTATATGTATTATCTTTTAATGATATGCGTTAATGTTTAAAACTATAAAAAATTTAACGTTTCAGTAACCTGAAAACCAATAAAAAACCCTGGTCCTAGTTAATCTTGAAGGTGGAAGCCATAGAATGGTGGGTTGCCATCATTTGGGTTCGGACATTCGAACCCTGTTGCAGGTGCTATCTTCTTATATCTAAGCTTTTGTCTTGAAATTATTTGTTAATGTTTAGAAATATCTTCTTAAATATCTTATTAACTAAATTAAGATAAAACCATTTTAATAAGTTGTAGAGGATTACATGAGAAAAAGATAAAACCATGCTTTCACAAAAATTCTTAATTAACTTTATGAATAAAGAGAAAAAAAAAAACCCAAATAACGAGAATCAATCAACTGAAATCATAAAAGTGGTGGCCAATCAGATAATATTTATAAAAATTCATACATGGATTTTGATTGATCAAAATTCTTTCCGTTCCGCATCATAAATTTTCCCTAAATTAAAAGAAAAAAAGATAACAAAGTCGTTGATTAGCGTGAAACCAACAGCAAATAAGGACAAAAAAAAAACAGAAAAAGAAAAGCGGTGAAGGAAACCAAGAGGATTAACCGATCGTTGAATCAAACAAGCTCAAGCTGCCCTTGGTCCAGGCCTTTACATTGGTCAATCTCGCCCTTGTCAAATGTCAACCAACCATTTTCCCATATAGAAAAACCCTCCATGTGGACAATTAAAAATGAAAAACAAGAACCACGTCTTCACCGAGTAAGGAAAAACCACTTGATGAGTTGAACGAGTCGAACGAGTCGAACGAGACTGACGATTATTATTATTATTATTATTTTTGGTATAGTAGACTTACGATTACGACCCGATTAATCTCTGCTGATTCCAATTTTAATTCCATGTAGCGTGTCTGCAGAGGAATGCCCATTGATTGTCAAATCAAAGAGCACAATCCCAGCAAGCAATAATTGAGTTTACCATCACTTTTGGTCAATACCTCTGAAATCTAATACAATAGAACGACTTGACTTTTTCTCTCGTCACTTCTCTCCCAGCCCATTACAAACAGAGTATCCCAAACAAACCCTTCTTGTTCTGGCTATTCTTCTCTGTTTCCTTGCTCTCATTATAACAACTACTTCATAATCTTCAAGAGCTTCTTTCTTTCTTCCACCTTTTCGCAAGCATGGAAATTGAAGAAGTTTCGACGACTGAGAGCGTCTATGGTGGTGAGCCAATAACAGATGGACCCCTCGGTGACAATTATGCCAGGAAATTGTTTCAAGCCCTGGTAAGAAACCCTTCTGTACGAAGATATGCATCAGACTCCGATGATTCCTTCAGCCAAACGAAGCCCATTAAGATGCTTCAGATGGGCGTGGATAGAAGCGCTCCTGCTCAGACGAAATTCGAGTGGTTGCGCTCACAGCTGGTAGGAGGCGATGTTGAATTTGACACCCCTTTCGGGAAACGCCTCCTTACTTATGCTGACCACACTGCTTCTGGGAGGGGTCTTCGCTACATTGAAGATTACATCACCAATGATGTTCTTCCTTACTATGGTAAGCTCTTTCTGGGTTCTTTGCTTTCTTTTTACTTCTTTCTTCCTTGATGAATTCAAGGTATTACATTTCTATGATTCCTTTGATCGATTCATTACTTGATAATTTTGTATTTATTATTATGTGTGAGACTTATTGAAACTCATTTGTTATACGCAGGAAACACTCACACAGGTGATAGTTTCGTGGGGCACAGGACGACGAAGACGGTACACGAGGCAACACAGTACATCAAGAGTTGCTTAGGGGGTGGCATTGACGATGCGCTGATATTCTGTGGCTCCGGAACCACCGCTGCCATCAAGCGTCTTCAAGAGGTGATGGGAATTGCGGTTCCATCGATCATCAGGGACAGAATGCTGAAGACCCTAAAGAATGAGGAGAGATGGGTTGTATTCGTTGGGCCATTCGAGCACCATTCCAATGTCTTATCATGGCGACAGAGCCTTGCGGAGGTGGTTGAGATTGGGATTAATGAAGAGGGATTGGTGGATATGACAGCTCTGAAACATCAACTTGAGACTTATAAATCCACCAATCGTCCTATGTTGGGTTCATTCTCAGCTTGTAGCAATGTCACCGGAGTGTACTCGGACACTCGTGGCATTGCTAGGCTCCTTCATCAACATGGTGCCTTTGCTTGCTTTGACTTCGCTGCTAGGTATGCATTTGGCGTTCTGTGGGTGTTTTCTCTAATGGCTCCTTAATTAGTCATCAAGTGTGTGATATTTATTGTACATGATCTGCTTGAACTTGAATTGGTGCATGCAGTGGTCCATATGTGGAGATCGACATGAGATCAGGAGAGCTGGATGGCTATGATGCTCTTTTCCTTAGCCCACATAAGTTCCTTGGTGGGCCTGGAACCCCTGGCATCCTTCTGATGAGCACAGCTTTGTATCAGTTGAGATTTTCTCCCCCATCAACTTGTGGAGGGGGGACTGTCAGCTTTGTCAATAGCTTCTCTGAAAGGGTGAGTCCCACATGCATGGATTCATGCATTATCTTTGAAGAGAACCATGAATTTATCAATCAAATCTCAGTCAGTTCCTAAGATAATGATATATATGCAAACCTGATTTGTAGGATACCTTATATTATGAAGACATAGAAGAGAGAGAAGATGCCGGGACCCCACCCATCATCCAAAAGATCCGAGCAGCTTTAGCTTTCTGGGTGAAGGAATACATTGGTTATAGTGTGATTGACGAACAAGAACATGTGTTTGTAAATGCAGTCCTCAGAAGGCTTCTCCCCAACCCAAACATATGGGTGTTGGGGAATACAAGCGTAAAGCGACTATCAATCATATCTTTCCTTATGTACACCACTACAAATTCTTCTTCTTCAGAGGAGGGTGAAGATGGTAGAAGAGTAAGAGACAGAGGACTCAACATGTGGAGAGAGTCAGGGAACAAAAGAGATAAGCCTCTTCATGGGCCTTTTGTTGCAAAGCTGCTGAACGATCTCTTCGGCATTCAGTCCAGAGGCGGGTGTGCTTGTGCCGGCCCTTACGGACACCTTTTGCTTGATGCCAACGAGTCTCTCTCCCTTGCTTTCCGATCTGCCATTCAGAAGGTAAATTGTTTCTTCCGGCCCATCCAACTCTACATGGGCCTTACAACATTGACCCATCTTACTTCACAGGCTGACTATTTGTTGTGTTACTGTTTGTCACTATTTTGAAGGGCTATGCTGGGGTAAAACCTGGATGGACGAGAGTTAGCTTTCCCTACTACATGTCCATAGAAGAGTTCGAGTTCATCCTAGCTGCCATGGAATTCGTAGCTTTATATGGCCAACGTTTCCTTCCGCTGTATCATTTCAACTGGAAGACAGGCAACTGGACCTTCAAAAAGAAAGCATTCATGGATATTCAAACAGGGGAGGAACGAGAGCTCGACTTCAGCAGATTGTCGTTGGCCAATAGGATGGCTACAGGAGTGGTTAATAAGTATGCATCGTACCTAGAGACTGCTAAACATATAGCGAATTCCCTCCCCAAGTTCCCTCGCCCACGTAAGGTGCCAAAAGACATTGATCCTGGCCTTGTTCACTTCAGGGTCTAGCCCCTCTCTCTGGTGCCTTTTTGGAGCTGAACCCAGCAACGTTGAAGTAAAATAAGTGTGGAGAGGATTGCATCCCGTAATCCTTTTGCATAGAATTGTATGAAAAGAAACAAAATAAGACAAGTTTACATCTTGTAATCATTCAACTGTGTAATCTAGATTCTTTCTTTTCAATAAATTCATTAGTTAATATTATATCATCCACCACATTTTGCATTAGGGCTGAAGTGGGATTTGGCCTAGTTCGGCCCTGCCTTAATTTTGACCTGTTGGCATTCTTCACACAACCCTGTGCCTAATGACAGATACTAATCACAAAATTGTACCACCTTAATTTCATGCCAGTAACATTTGTCTTCACTGACCTCACCTAATAGCTTAAGTTTTTGGGTTTAATCGTTCCTTCAGATGGTATTAAAGATTTTTTTTGACCAAGTGGTTCAAGTTAGGGGTGTCAATAGACCGGTTTTAGATTGGATTCTGTCTAAATGAAAATCAAATTGGACGGATCAACAAGACATATTGAATTTGGATGGACTGGATGGGCCAATATGACAGACATATTAGACTGGACCTGGTCCATCCATAATGAATTTATATTGGATTGAGCCAATATCTGGTCCATTGATAGAAGATAAGAGCATAGGTGTCAATGGATCAGGGTTGAGTTAGAAACCAATATAAATTAACAGGAATTTGAACAGATTGGGCAGTCTCTGGACTGGTCCAAAATGATCCAAAAAAATCATTGGGCTGGATTGGACTAGGTCCATTTGTAATGGATTCACATTGGACTGGATCAGATTGGATCAAATCCAGTCCAATTGACACCCCTATTCCAAGTATTAGGCCCTTATTGCCCTCAGTATAATTAACTAAATTTCAGCACAAGATATGCATGGACTTATATTTCTCCATACTTTAAGTCTGATGAGTTTTCTTATTAGGGGGCGTACTAAAAAATAAAACCTATTCAGGCTTAATCTTTTACGTTGAATTGGTGCCAGCTAGATAGTTGGGATGAGGTTGAAAGTTGTTGGTCTCCACTGGTTGCTTCCTACCACTGCTGCGTGAAAAAGGAGAAGACAATAGGGTTTGGGGTGTCTTCTCCATTCGTAGGGGTGTAAATGGTCATTTAATTTTTTTTTAGAATAGTTTTGTCCCACCAAAATTCAAAATAGTACTTATTATGGGATTTTTTTTGCCAAACATGGATTTATTTTCCACTTATTGTATGGTCTCACCACTTATTTTAAGTATTTATTTGAATATTTAATTATTTTAAGTGATATAAAACAGTTACATAGTCCATTAAAATTAGGGGTGCAAGTCCCGCTGTATTAGCTAGGTTGGATTTAGATCAACCCTAACCCAATCCAAGCTGTGGAATCCCAACCTTAAACAGAACCCAATTCAAACTGTTTTCGGGTTGGGCTGGGTTTGGATTGGGCATGGCCAATTGGATATGATTGAGGTTGGGCTGACTTTTCTAATTCCTTTTGCCAATAAATGCTCTTATATCCTAGACTCAAAACAACTACAAATTCTCCATCAAACTTTGAGGGCCTGAGTATGTGGAGAGACGAGGAAAACATATCTAAACTTTAATCCAATAGAAAAAAAAAGTTGGAAATAAAATGAAGCAAAGCTAAATAGGAATAAGATCCAACGGGTGGCAGAGAATGGTTAAAACTTGGGCTCATATTCCATGTAAAGAAGGTCTAATGGAATTCATTTAATATTGATGAGAAGATTACGACTCAATCAACTCTAACTTCTTCATCCTAATTATCAAATCTTATCTCCATATTCCTAAAGCCTTGTTCGTTTCATCTTATTAGTGTCTGTTCACATTTAATCTTGGAAAATTGCGGTAGTAGTGATTGTTTACCCAAGGAAATTGATACTTGAACATATATAGGGAAATTGATCGATTACCAGGGTTGACCGATTTACTCCCGCGAGATAGGTATAAGCAAACGAGACCTAAGTTGCATATGACATGCCAACCTCTTATTTATAATGTAGTTCCAACCAAGAAAAGACACTTGTTTTCATGACACTAAGAATTTGCCCCTTTTCCTCTCAGAAATCTCAAACCATCCTTGTCTCGATCTAGGAGGGTAAGTATATGTGGTATAATTAATGCTTACTTGTTGATATCCCCATACGACAGTTAATTCCACCCGCCCAAAAAGGAAGGAGAGGAAATAGAAGGAAAATTAATATGGCCACTTGGAGGATCTTTAGCCATTAAGTTTGGGTACAAGCCGCTATGTTTGGCTAAAAGAAGGCCTAAAGTGGCTATAGACCTCCCAAAAAGAAGCATAGCTAAACCATATTTCCCAAGAACCTTCAAACACTACCAAGCTTTTGTCCCTTAGAAAGACAGGAGCTCCCTGACATTCAGAAACACCACCAACACACACACGCCGCAGGCAGCACTAGCACCACCATGACCAGTATGAGCTCCGAGCCCCAACAAGAGAGATCCAGTTGAAGCAAGAAATGGCATGGATACCTCAGGCAGAGGAACAGCACTCGTCACAACCCCTGCGAGAAGAAACAAGCACAGTCACGCCGGAGTCGGAGATGCAATTAGTTGTCCATCCCCACGTCTCTCTGGAAGAGCCAAAACCTCAGAAAAAACCATCGAAATCTATCAAACTTTTCAGGCGCTTTCGTTTGGTGTTCAGGGCATTCCCCGTCATCACACCCGGCTGTAAGATGCCTATACATCCCCGCAAGTCCCATGAAGACCACATACGTGGAGGAATTCGTATGACAGGCACCCTCTTTGGATATCGCAAGGCTCGTGCCAACCTCGCCATCCAAGAAAGCTCCAGGTGTCTTCCCATGCTCGTACTTGAGCTTGCTATCCCCACAGCCAAGCTGCTCCAAGAGATGGGAACGGGCCTCGCCAGGATTGCGCTCGAGTGCGAGAAGCACGCTGCAGAGAAGGCAAAACGACTCATCGATGAGCCTGTCTGGATTATGTTTTGGAACGGCAGAAAGGTGGGCTATAGTGTGCGGAGAGACCCAACAGAGAATGACTTAAACGTCATGCAACTGCTCCATGCTGTGTCAATTGGTGCAGGTGTGCTACCTACAGACACAGCGGGCTCGCCAGATGGAGAGCTAGCCTACACCCGAACGCACATTGAGCGTGTGGTTGTGTCCAAGGACTCCGAGACATTCTACATGATGAACCCAGATGGCAAAAGTGGCCCCGAGCTCAGCATCTTCCTTATCAGGATCTGAAATTTCTATCGATCGAACACCTTCATTTCCAATTGATGAAAAGCAAAGGATTACATGAAGCATGCATGATGGCTGCTACTACTACTAGACATTAATTGTTGCAAGAGTAAGAAGGGAGAAGATAAGGATGTTAAAGGCCAATTAAGTCCCAAAGTCTAACGGTACGACCATCTCTCCATCGAAGCTCATCAACAGTATATTGCTTCTCTAAGTCCAGCTGAAGCTCCTTCAATTCCTTCTGTTTCTCTATTCGAAGGAGACCACTGCCATTTTTATCGTCAGGTCTGTGCTCCACTTTGAGGTTGCTCTTCACATCCTAGAATTGACCATGCACAGGTACCAAGGCAATCTCTGACTCTAAAATTGTTGTGTTGGGAAGGTTTGAGAAATTCTAACAAATATATTTTCATTGACAAAAGAAAAAGATCAATTGTAGATATTTACCTTTTATTGTAAATACTTCTGATCATCATAACGGTACAAACAGAAAAGAAGAAACAAATGGAAAAGGAACCATATGAATTATACGATAGGTCTATTGAATTTCTCCTGTCTCTCTCTCGATCCAAATCGATGACTATGGATGGCAACGGGGCGGGGGGCAGGCACTCACCGTTCCCGCCCCGTCCTCGGTATCGGGGTGAAGAATCAACCCCCATCCTCGGCCCTGTCGGGTACGGGGAATCCCCGACATGTACCCGCCCCGCAATTAACTACAGAAGAAGCTTTAGAGGTAAAAGCAACAGAATTACAGAAGTCACGAAGGAGGGAAACCTTTAGAGGTAAAAGCAACAGAACTACAGAAGAAGAAGCTTTCAATTCACGGAAGTCACGAAGAAGCAACAGAACTACAGAAGTCACGAACGAAAAGTACCAGTTAGAGCTGTTTTCAAAACAAATTAAAAACTGGTTTACTCTGTGCTAGGGTGGTTGGCGGCTGGCGGTCGGTGGTTCTACGGTGGCGGTGGCGCCCGGCGGTCGGCGGATGAACGAGAGTACAAGACTTCTTACTTCTTAGTTTCTTAGTCTGCAAAAATGATGGTTGCTTGCAGACTGAGCCGCAACTCTGTGCACTGTGCTATGGCGATCGGCGGTTCTACGGTGGCGGCGACGCCCGGCGGTCGGCGGTTGTGTTGTGCGACACTGCGGTTCTGCGAGCGAAGAAGTTGAACAGTGAAGTGTGAAATTCTGTCGACTGAATACAACTTTTACCCTAATAATTTAATACACTAATACACTATATATATAAAAGGGGTATAATTGTAAATTACAACCGGGGTTGGGGCGGGTTCGGGGATTTATAGGCAGACTCCATCCCCGCCCCGTCCCTGGTTCAGGGCAAAAAAAATTCTCCGAACCCGACCCGCATGCATTTGTAACGAGAAAAAATCTACCCATTTAGAGCGGTTCGGGTCGGGGACCCGGTTTGTGGGTAAAATTGCCACCCCTATCGATTACCACTCTAATTTAGAAGCAAATATATATAAAATGAGAAAAAACCGAAAAAAAAGAATAAAGGAGAGAATTGAAATAAGAAAAGAAATAAGGGTAAATTACAAAGACTCATACTTTTTTTTTGGTGGAAAACCCCTTGTACGATGGGATTAGTGACAAATACCCATTTAACTTTCGTTTGTGACAAAGACCCCTGATTGTTAAGTCAGATGATGGAATGCATTAAATTATCAAAATATTCATCTAAATTTTTCTTATTTTTTTTCTTTTTCTTTTCATTTTCTCTTAAACCCTAATTGACCAAAAAGTCGTTTTTAAATACTTGATTTATTTTAATTACATAAATGTCTCTCTTCATTTTAAAATAAAAAAATTATGCACTCCTTTTTCCAATAAATCAAGAATTTTTTTTTTTTCCATTTCCGTCACTCTGTGTTTTGTTGTTGAGACATTAGAAGACATGGGAAGAAGACAGGGGGTTAGTAGATGAAGAAAACATGGGAAGAAGACAACAGATCTGGCCTTCGTAGAGGATGAAGAAGATAACTTCGAATACAATGGATTTGACCTTCGCAGAGGATGAAGAAGACAACTTCAGACTCTTGGCCATGAGGCGACTAAAACACAGAAAGAAAGAGAGAGATCTTGATAAAAAATACAAAAAAGAAAAGATGAACAAAGCATTTCTTCCCGTCGAAAAGAATGGCTTCTGGCCGATGAACGACCATTTCTTTCTCCTAACACAAGGAGACCAATGACTTAAAAACAGGTATAAAAATTGTCGTCGATCATCGGTGGTCATGGTTCTGGTCGTACCTTAGCCAGAGATCCCATGGGAACGACATCGGCGACATGACCTTTGTGGACGTAGGTAGGTGTTGATGGTTAGCTACTCAAGATTGAGAGGAAGAGCCGGATACCTTTTTCCCAAACTTTTCTTTTCTCACTGGGGTCACACCATTTCAGTGCGAGCCTACTTCATTGTTTATGGGAACCCATGTCCGATGGTTTCCCATCCCATCCACTCAAGCAAACGCTTTAAAAAAAGAATCTAATGGGAATATTCCCATTCCCATCGCAAGAACCAAACATGCCATAAATTTATATATTTCAACAGAAACCTCTACTATTTCATTTGAATATTGGATCCAACCTAAAATATGTTATATTTTGACAACTAATCGAAATCATAAATCATTCAAATAATTAAGAAAATGATAATTTGGGGATTTAAAAAAAAATAAACAGTTGGATGAGAATCACTTTCAAAGTTAATTGATCGAATTCTAACAAAGGGGGTGTTTGTTGCAAAGTGAAAATTCAGGAGGTATTTATCATTAACCCCATACTACAGGGGGGGGTCTTTCTAATTTACCAAAAACAATAAAGAGTTAAAAATAACTTAAAAGAGTCTAACTATCAACAAATAATTTTTTCAGAAGGTAATTTGAAATGAAATGGAAGTAGGTTTTGATGATACCTCTTTAATTTGCAGTGTTTGTTTTGTTTCCCAATAACATTTTCTTCTTTTGGTCATTAGTCATGTATGTAGGGGTGGCAGTTTCTCACCCAACCCATTGAATCCACCCAATATCTAACCTACCCAACCCATCCATTTACTTAGCATGTTGGAAATGGGTTGATGACCCATTGGATCAAATTAAATGGGTTAGGTCGGGCCAGGTTGGCGATATCCATTGGATTAATCATTAATGATACAAGTGTGAATTCCTTAGCCATCTTTCTTTAATTTTCTTCATTTGTGTGAAATAATTTATTATTAATGCAATAATTTTCTATTAATTATTGACTAAAATTAATTTTGCCTTGAGTCAATATAGTTCACCCAAATTGACATAAATACAAATTCAATCGAATGACCCAATTTGGTCTGATTTGATTCTAGCGCGAATGTCCCAATTGTACCCAACCCAAATCTACCCAAACAACCTAGCAATCTAGGTCAACCCGATTTGGACCGGCGGCCCTGTCCCAAATCTAACCCATGGCAACTTGGTCTGGCTTGACCCAACCAAAGCTGATCCAGTTCGGGTCGAGAAAGTCTGATGCGGATCTAGATGTTTCGGATCCAGCCAAGTCCAATCAGGATTGGCCGGTCCGACTCAGTTCAACCTGGTTCAGTCCAAAGCCAACTCCAATTTGGGCCAGTCTGGTCTGAACCAATGCAACCCTAATCCGAATGGCATGATCTTCTCATCCTAATTGCTTCAGTCAGCTTGGTCTCGAACCCGTGCCAACCTGATTTGGGTTGATTTGAGTCAATCTGCCATATGACTGAACCTGTTCAACTGGACGGTTGGAATTCAAACAGTTGGAGCACTCTTGATGTTATTAGCCTGAAGACAAATTAATTTAGATGGTTCAAGTTGATTTGACTGATTCGAACCTAACTGATTCGACTGAACCTGAAATCCAAACATAATCAAATGATTCTATGTGATTGGTTTTTCATTTTAACTACATAAACTAAGTTGTTATAAGATTAATGGGTTAGGTGGATTGGATTGGGTGAAAGCAGATTTGAGTTCAATGCAAACCATTTAACATTATCTAATTAGATCATTAATGTGTTGGTGGGTTAAATGCATTGGATTGAAACTTGACCCAAACCGAACCCAACCCAATCTGCCCAATTGCCACTGCTACATGTATTCATGCACCGGTGGTGGCAAGATTCCTATTCACTATGATATGTAGATAGTCCTAGACTATAAGGTATTACAAATTCAAGAACAAGAATAACTAATAGTTCAAAGAGGAACTTCAATCATTCATTTTTTTTTGTGGACAAGACAAATTTACCATTGGCACTGCAACCAATAGTACAATTGCATTTTTTTCATGGGGGCTACACAACGGGATAGCCCATCCCCTATCCCTATAACCTCCAACCCTCGTGAAAATAGGATTTGATCCCGAGTTGGTATGTTTGCTGGAAAAGGACTAAGGTGATGAATACCATATGCACCTAATTCAGTCTTGTTTCTTAATAAACCGAAAAGGGGCTTACTTGTTGGTGGCCAAGTTGGTATCATTAATATTTCGATTTGACATTCACTTTTGGCTTGGTTCTAAACCCAGAAGATAGATTATCATTTTTTTTTAGGTTGCATTTGGAAATGATGCAAATATGTAAAGTATAAAACGGTTTATATAAATTGTAAAATTGGATTAGTTTTGTACTGACAAATTTATTTTCTTACCAAACAGACTTTTAGATGTAATGGATGCAAACATGAATTTCAATAAGGCATATGTTTTTTTTTTTTTTTTTTTTTTTTTTTTTTTTTTTNTTTTAGCTTTAGCAGAAACTAGGTTTAGCTTAATTTACATTTGAACAATATTTGGCATATACTAATGGTTTCTGATGAGGGCGGATTTTGCTCTCTAATGACATTGTGACACATGACACCTCAAAACAATTAGCTGACACCTGGAAGCACTTGGGCAACAACTTGCCAAGTTAATGGTGTCCAGCCTGGTGGCCTGGCACATGCGCGATCTGGCGGTCTGGCACATGCGCC